GTTGTGTTACCAACTAAAACATAAACAGCAGTTTGGCCCAAAGGCTTTCAACAGTAAAACAGGGTGGTGGTAGTATGATGGTCTGGAGCTGTTCTTTGGATTGTGTTAAAAGCTGAAACCATGAGATCTGCTGTCTGTCAGAATATTCAATGAACAATGTCCCACATCGGTTCATAAGCGAAGGATCTCTCTTTGGTTAAACAGCAGGACAGGGATCCAAAGCACACAAGCAAGTCCACCTTTGACTGACTTAAAACCCTCCCCTAAGTACACTTGGAACAGCCTAGTCAAAGTTTGGGCTTAAGTCTGACTAATAGCCAGAATATTAGCTTTTGTCTCAACTCAAAGGCCTGATGGGAAGTGTTACAGCCAAGAGTTGAAAAACCTGGAGCACATTTCTACACCATAGGAAGGCTGTCTGGATAGTTTATCTTAATGAATACAATCTTTTATAATCAGTGTTTTGCATTTACTTTGCTCATGTTGGATATTTTAACTTGTCTAATTGTGACCAAAAGGCAAAAAAGTAGCATTAAAAACAGAAATAACCCCTTTAAAAGCACTATAGATTAAACAGACATGTGTATTTTAATTGCATTTTTCTGTTTATGTGAATGATTATAGCTTTGAGCTAATGACAACCTCAGATGGCGTGACGCCTGCTGAATTGACAGTCGTTTAGTAGATGTCATACCAAAAAAAAAAAAAAAGGTTATCATTTGAGTCTAGCTGTTCACAGTACTGCATTGAAGCATATTTTTCTAGGAAAGTTGAGTGGAAGGAAACCTTATGAAAAAGAAGCTCAGACAGCAGGAATGTAACCCAGATTTGAGACGGTTGTAAAACAAAGCTCATGCCGCTCTGTGTTCAAGACCTCTGGGGTATTGTCAGGAAGAAATGAGACAAACCATAGCCAACATGATGAGACATGACTACTAAACACAGAAATGCAAAACGCATATATTAGGATTTTCCTGAGAAACAGAATCTGTTGTTTTTGTTTTCCGAAAAATATTAAACTCTTCGTGTAAAAAAAAATAAAAATAAATAAATAAATAAAAATATATATGGAAGATTTTCACTCTCTTAATTAAAATACTGCAAAAAAATAAAAAAATAAGAATAAGCTATTGTAAATGATTCTGAGCTCCCAGTTTAGTATATTAGTTATTTTAAACATTAACCCGATTAACCTCAGGCTTTCCTCTCGTTCATCCCAAAGCCTTTTTCAGTGATGGATGGACTTTCTGTAATAATTCTGAATGAATGTGTCAATGTATACAACAGAGGTTTGCTTCAGGCGAAGCAGGTGTCACCCACTGTTCATCTTTTCAACTTTACTTGACGTCTCTGCCAAAGGGGAGACGATATGCAGATTGGCTCTGGAATTTAAGACCTAAAGCTGCAACGCTGTCAGCTGTGCTCGATCAATATATGGATATTTGTTGAGTTGGAGTCTCATTCCAGGGCAAAAACCATTTTGCTGTTGCTGCTCTGTGTGCAGACTGCCGACGGAGTTCATGTTGCAGGTATTGACACAGCGAGTTGAGGTTTGTGTGGTTAGACAGGGATCTTCTGTCCAACATGAGGCTAAATAAACAACAGATTAGGAAACATGTATGTCTCTGGAGAACTGGGGCTGGACTAGGAGAAGAACAATAATTCTGCTGATACAGAAATAATGAGTCAGGCAGCATGTGTTGTCTTTACAAATTTCTAAACTGAGAATGTTGAGTTATGCTCTTTTAGGGATCGTCAGGAAGGACTATGATTAGCATCTAGATAGCAATTTTGCAAAAAAAAAAATGTATTTGTGTTTTATTTTCCAATAAGAATACAATTGAATTGAAAGTTTGAAACTAGAGAATAAAGTGTTAAAAAAGAAATTTTAAAATTGTGCCTCACCCTTGTATAGATTTGTTTAAAAATCTTCCAAATTACAGGTATTTTTGGGTAACCACATCACTGGTGGCATGACTCATTTTCTTGAAAAACAGACTATACAGGTACTGGTCCTCTGGGTGGTCTCTGCCGCAACCCTGAGTTCTTCACATTGATCTCATCCCTCTGTTGGTAACATGAGGAGTTGTTGGACTTTCAGCCGCCTGCGGGCTGCAGGGGAACAAACCAGCCCGTCATCCCCTGAGAAAGCCATCTGATTATTGGCCAGTGTGGCAAATACTGATGCATGGATGTTAGTCATGCTTAAATTACTGTAATTTAGAACAGGAGAAAAGTGCAACGAGGAGAGTCTGTTGTTAGGGTTACTTCTTGGTTTGCATCTGCTGTTCACATTTTAAATAATTTCAGATGTGCTGCAGGGGTGGGGAAAAGTATACCGCTAAGGATTAAAAAAAATAAAATCCTTAAATTTGTAAAGGCTTTGATGTATCAACGGGATCTACCTAATTTGCATACAAACTTCTCCTTTTAGTGTTTTAAGTAGTAAACAACACATTCTGTTCACTTCTACATTGAAAATGACTATCCCACAAAAATACATATGTACATTTTTGCCTTCACAGAAAATACTAGTGTCACAATTGTTGGTGCCTTTGTTGTGGAAAGGTTGTATGATTCCCTGTTTGTGAACAAGATGGCAATGGATCTATACAATGGTGTGCGGTTGAAGCAAACGGGGAGAGGGGATCTTTTTCTTTTTTTCCTCTTTGCACTATCAGATGTCTCTAAAAGTGCAGGTCTGGCTTCATTTGAGGTTGTTGGAAAGATTTTGTTTATGCAGGGCCATTCAAAATAGATGCAGATTAAATCTTATAGTTAAAAATGTGAGGACTGACTATTTATCCAAAGAGAGTTTTGAAAGGATGGCTAAATATTAGGAATATATGAAGAATGTCTGGACAGATATAAAAAGAAAACCATTAATGGCAGAATCTATGTCAGTTATATTCTGTTTTTTTTTTTTTTTTTTTTTACTTTTATATACTGGAAAAGAAGCAAGATGTTTCATTTCGTATCTCTGTCTCAGTTTTAAAGATATCAGAAGTTTTTGGTTCAGTAAAGTAGAGAAAATGCTGTTTATGGTTAAAAAAATTGAAAATAATAAATTAAGTATTTAATATTTTTTGCTTTTATCATTTAAAGAAATGGGGGCTGTGAGTAGAACTAACTTGACATTTTTTTTTCCCCTAAAGAATTTGAACCCAGGTATTTTAGATCATCCACAGTCCACTTTCTTGTTCTCTTCAGGTATTCCAAATTTTTTTTTATTGTGTTTAAGTCTGAGGAATATAAGAAAATATGATAGACTGCACTGGGAATGAATTAATTTTTTAATTGCTATTCTGCTGTAATTTTTTTCATTTGTGAGATCATGTGGCCATGCTCTCTAACAAGCTTCTCAGGTCTTTGGATGGCATTGTTACTGAAATGAATAAAGTTACCTTGCCTTTGGAACAGAAACAGCCTCACACATCAGAGAAACAACCCCAAATTAAACTAGAAAAGCATTCAGACAGCGCAGACCTCCACCAAGTAACTCATTTCCCGTGACATACTGTGACTGATTTCCACCTTAAGTTAACACCTGTATTCACAGAATCTTTAAAAAAAAATCCTGGATCCAGATGGTGATCCGGATCATCACCAACATTTAACGGATGGTTCCTAAGACTGAGGCACACCTTTGGGGAAAAAAAATTATTAAAATCCATTCTTAGCATTTGCAGTTAACATTTAGCTTTGGTAGGTCCCTAGGTGGAGGTAATTAAATAACATAAAGCAAAAACTCTTAGTTTTCTTTAGGCTATTAAAACTACCGGTATAACTGTTTTTTTCTTTCTGGCATGCTTCCAAAACAAAATGCTTGTATTAAGAGTTTCAGTTCTTATCCCCCCTATATTCCTTAGCTGACTTATATAGGCTAAAACACTCAAACAATCTGTTCTCAAGTTTTTTCCATTTTGAGAGGGGCTAAAATTAATCATTTAGATTTTTTCACATTTTTTGGGAGAAATTATGCAGAGATTGATTTATTTTTTTGGTGGGTTGAAGGAGCTTACATATTGAATACATGTATATGTACTAACAAGCTTTAATCCATGGAACAACAGTTCTCTCTCTATCTGGAAGTGATTCTGAGAGGAGGATTTTTGTGGTTTTTATTTCATGTCCCATCATGTGGTGACAAAGCGATTCCCCAGACTGGAGTATGTGTGCTACTAGATTTCCCACACATCAATTAAGGTGCTTCTCCTGCAATCTACCATCTATTGTTTACAAGTTTCATATTTTGGTTTCTACACTTAACCTATTATTTGAATGAAATGTGTCAAAACATATGCATGGCTTGGAAAAGCCAAGCCTAGGATTCCCAAGAGAAATACCTGGAAATCCATCTGAGGTTACATTGAAAGGTGAGGGCAGGGTTGGGTTGAGGATGGAAGCAAAAGGAGCTGGATGAGATCACTGGAATTGTGTTGGGAAAAAAACAACAACCCTGGAACATAGTTTATTGAAACAAGAAGCAGAAATGCACTACAACATGAATGCAAGCTGTTCAGTAGGAACCATTAGCTTCAAATTAGACAATGTTTACTTTTTTTCCTCCCTCTCTTTTTAAAGCTCATCCCGGTGTGCCGTTTGACTGTGTGTAAGAGTGCAAGAAGCTTACGGGTGCGGCTTTGTGAATTATGACTCCGTGTTATGGAATGAAGGGAGCGGTGCCAGTTCTTTCTTTGCAGGACGGTGGGGTTTGGCTCAGAGGAAGGAGAAGGGTCTGTGCTGCTGGCTGTAATGGGACAGCCCGTAGAGACATGCTTGATCTAAGGCACAAGACGCATGCCTCAAATAATTATTTTTTTTAATTTTCTATCAAGACTTCTACTTTAAACTGTCAAATTCCACTAATTGAGTACAGTTAAAAAGTGATAATTCTTTTAGGAGATTATCGTAAAAAACAGGGTTAGAAAATAATCAAAGCTTCTCTAATGTTTCCTAATTTATCTCTTTTTTTTCCTCCCATTTCTCCTATTTTTAAGGACGTAGCTCCACCGTGAAGCAGCATGTCAAACCGTGATTCCCTGGGGGTTGGGGAACTCCTTCCCCAAGACGTGATCCATGTCTTTACCCAGGACAAGCACAGCAAAAAAGGTCGAAAAAAGCGCACACGCTCCCTCGGTCGAGCATTCAACTGGTTCAAGAGAAAGAAGAGGAAGACCGGCAGTAATGGGCAGAACCACGGTTTGGGCCCTGCGCTGGACCTGGCCCTGGATGGACACCGTGCAGGACATCATGGTGGACACAAGGGTGGACAGAAGTCAGGGAGGCAGACTCATCCACATGGTAACAGTCATGGTAAGGCTTCACAGGATACAGTTCTTTTAGGTTTTCTTATTCTCCATTTCTCCAAAATCTGCATGTGGATTGTTTTGTGACCCACAAAGGTCACAAAAAAACTAAAAGTTATAATAATTAAAAATTCTATGGAAATTAAAAAATTAAAGTCAAACATTACTTTTCAGTAATGAGTCAAGAAGATGATTTTTGGGAAATCAACTCATGACATGCCTGTCATGCCTGGACAAAAATGATGGCTCCCCAACTTTATATTTTGTTTCACAATTTTTTGAGTCAATCACTGCGATGAGTTAATTCCTGTTATTGTCAATGAGACTCCTGCTTCTGTCGGCAGGTATTTTGGCCCACCCCTCATGAGCAAACTGTTGCAGTTGGCTCAGGTTTGAAGGCTACCCTTTTCCAGAAATTATTGTTTCAGCTCCTTCCAAAGATGCTCAATAGGATTTAGGTCAGGGCTCATAGAAGCCATTTCAGAATGTTTTCCTCTTAGCCATTCTTGGCTGTTTTTAAGCTGTGTTTTGGGTCATTATCCTGTTAACCTGTGAGTGAGACCAAGCTTTCTGATACTGGGCAGCACATTTCTCTCTATAATCCCCTGATAGTCTTTCATTGAACCCTGCAGAGATCCAAGGCACCCTGTGCCAGATAAAGCAAAGCAGTATTAAAGTTTTTAATAATTGGAAGCATTAGTTAAACCCACAAAAATAAACATTGAGCATCGTCCGTTCCAATATACTTTTTTGCAAATCTTAATGTAATAATTTTCAGGTGTTCAAAAAGTTTTCAACACAAACTTTATATAACTGTTGCAAAATTTTGTCAGAAAATGTCTAATTATTAGATAATTAGAAAAAAATTCTAAAAGTTACATTGGATTTGTTAAAATATATATATATTTTTTTATTTTTATTTTTAATTTTTTTGCATGAAGTGCATAAAAACTAAAAAGTCAATAATCTAGTGTCTATAGAAGCTACATTAAACAGCGTGCTCTGGTACTATGATGCAAAGATCGGAATAATCTTGAAATAATTTTCGATAACTCTGTCACAAATCCCCAAACAATTATTTTTTATATTGACCCACCATCTCTTCTTGCATTTATTAATCCGGTAAAAACAAATTGTACACTGATGAGTCTGTATGTGCTCCATTTGATATGGACAAAATCAGAATCTATAAAGAAAACCACCAAGTGTTACGAATTGACAAAAGCAGGATTAAATTGAACTGGTGTATTCTTAGGTCACAGTCCTTACCATTAGCAACACTATTGGCATTTGGCCACCTTGGTTAGTCATTCATTTACCAGTGGAGAATCCTGCAGCTGAATGAGGTAAAACTGATATTTGACTGTTTGAGGGGCCAAACCCTGTTGTCCCTCTGAGGATGGGCTCTTGCTTCAGACAAGGGTTGTTGATACTGATCAACTGTCAGTTGCTCTAGTTGAAGTTTATTTAAAATACTTTGACTTAGTCAGGAGTTTATAGTCAACTCAATGGCTACAGCAAACTTTGTTCCTGTCATTGCAAAAGATGGCCCGATCATCACACCTCCATCACTGTGCTTTAGAGTTGGTAAGAAGTTTGTTTTCATAACGTAGAGTTTGATGAGGAAAATCAAGCGTCTTATCTTATTAGTCAAATGGCCACTGTTCTTTGCTTTTCAGACAGTTTTTTGAACACATGAATACTCCAGAGTAGGACTGGAACAAACTGTTGGATTAGTCGTGATTAAACGAAATAAACGTTAACTAATTTAGTAATTTATAAAAAAAAAAAATCCCTTTATTATCCCACAATGGGGAAATTCTGGATTAATCATTAAGTGGAGTAAATAAACCTAAAAAAAAACATGCCATCAGCTGACAGTAAAACCCACTTAGAGCAGTAAATATTTCAACATTATATAAAAAAAAAATAAAAAAAAGTATAAACATTTAGGATAAAAAAAACAGTCAATATGCTCAATCATCAAGTGGGAAATATTTAGTTTTACCAGGTTAAATTATGTAAAAGTCTTATTTTAAGAACATTTTGCTATCTGATTATTAATCGATCAATTGAAAAAATAATTGACAGATTAATCGATTAGTAAAATGATCGTTAGTTGCAGTTCTAATCTAGAGACCCTTTTTTAAAGAAACAACTGATAAATCTAGCTCAGTGTGGAACAGTCTTTTAATTCTGTTTTTTCTTAATTCCCTCTGAATATTTTAAATTCAAACATATAAATGACCTCTCTATAAGCACTACACCTATATTGTGGAATATTTTTGGGCATTGTACACTCTGACTCTAAACTATTTAAAAATTACTTCACATCCTGTGATTTTTTTTTTTTAATGAGCAGGAGTAAATTCCTCCATGAGGTCATTGCTGATGTTTTTCCAACACTGCATGGAGTTAACACGGCTGAATGTTTCAGAGAAACCAATTACTTAGATCTGTTTTTTGTTTGTTTTTTTCCCTCTTCAGGTGCCTTGCACACAATGGTCGCTGGCATTCGAAGTGCTTTTACGTTTAGTGCCCGGCTTCTTCCCACAGTTTATTGTGTTTTATCTTAGGCTGTGTTTAAAGAAATAGCACTTAAAATAAAAGAACCACATTGAAATGATTTCATAGTTTTGATCGAAATTTAAAGAAAGGAATTTGATTGTTTCAGTTTATACATTAAAGCATAAATATTGTCCACTAACCTCCCTAATCAATTTACACAAATTATAATAGTGCTTAGGGTGGGTTGATATGTTTATAGACGGAACATGTTCCAGGTTTTAAGTCTTGATGAATGCAATGGATTGCAAGGAAAGTTTTAAAACATGCTACTAAAGTGGTCAGCGCCAAAAGAGCCTGAGGGCTAAGTGTGGGTATGAGTGGTGGGGGTTTAATAGGGGGTGTTCCAGGACGAGTGAAAGCAGCAGTTAGTTTGTCAGTGCTGGTTAAAAAAAAAAAGTTTCAGTTAAATTACACTTTAAGATATTTTTTTGACCAATCAAGTAAAAATAAACACATTCCAACCAATGATCAATGGAAAGGTGCAGCTGTACAAATATGTAGAAATGCGACCGTGATATAACTGAGAAAGAATAAAGATATAATTTACTGACTTCCAGAGGGATTTGTGTTTGTTCACTAGATGGATATTGAACACTTATTTCTGCTTCCCTTCTTGGCCTAAATGATCAAGTTGTTTATCATAGTCTACTCTATAATCTAGTGTTTATTAACAGAAAAAGATGTAAATAACAGCAATGGGGTCAGTCTGTTCTTATAAATTAATAAACATTAAATAAAAATACTCCTAACAGCCATGTCTTTTCCACAAGTGTCATATTTCCTGTATTTCTTTATACCAAAATGTAAAAGAAAAGCATAATTCTTCTGCCTCTAGATGTGATAGACGGTAAGAGAGGAGTGCCTCTAAATGTTAGTCGGATATGTGAATAAACAGCAGTTATCTTAAGTAAAGGCCTGCTTTTAGAGACTGCCTTCTAAAGAGAAGTGTTCATAAATTACCAAGAAAGTTTTAGCAACGTTTTGACTTTTCCCAGAGCTGTGCTTTACAGATCAAGTCGGAGCTTGTAGAGCTGCACTCTTTTATCAGCAGGTTTTTCTCTTCCAGTACAGTTTGTTTTTGTGAGACTATTTTTTTCCGGTCCTGATAAACGTGAACCGTCAACGCCAACTGTAGTTTCTCTTAGCAAATTAATTGCACTTTAATGCAGAAGACGCAAAACATAAAAACAGCTCGGATTCAAGCACATTTCCCTTGTTATTGAGTGCGCTTAGATAAAACAACACAAGTGGAGGCAGTTTTTAGTGTGTCAGGGATGTTTACTTGTGTTTGCCTGGCAGCACTTATGATCCTGGCTCACTGCTTTACAGACGGAGGAGCCTCTGCTGGTTTATTTTGCTGCTTGTTCTCACAGTGGAAGCCCAAGCAGGGAGGGTGTTGGGGATTTCCATGTGATTCAAGACTCATTCAGTCTCATATCACCAAATGAAACCTACAGCACAGGAGAAATATGTAGACACTTTATTTTGTTTAGTCGTGTCTTTTGATATGGATTACATTGACGTCAAAGATCACTAAAACATACACGTGCGGGCTCAGTTGCAGAGAATTTTGCTAACCTTTTTTTTCCTGAAAAGTGGAGTTTTGTTTGACAGAGCAAACTCTAAGAAGAGATAAGGTCTTTTTTTTCCTCTTTGCCAAGGTCGGCTTAGAGGTCCGCTTCAGGACAGATAGCACAATCTTTTAATTCACCTCTCATTGGGATTATATTTTCTAAAACACAGTATAAATATTTTAGCTAATTTAAAATGGCACCTACAGTCTTGTTGCATCATTTTCCCTTAAAGCAGCAGGACTCTGAGCTGCTTTTTACTATGAAGCTTGAAGTTTAATTGGTTTACATGCAGCATAGCTACTGAGCCCTTAGCAATGATCAGTTGTAGCGTTGGCAACAAGCAAAGCACAACAGACGCTGTTCACTAGAAGAGAAACTCCTAAAATACAGTGCAGGAGGTTTATTGTAGAAGCGAGTTGTGCTTTAACTGAACATTTGCCCGGAAAAGTGAGTCCCTCCAGGTGACGCCTCCTGATCATTCAAGGCTTGGTATGAAGGAGCCGGTTAATTAGAAGCCATGCCAAGATTCTTACGGGGGGGACCAGGGGGGTTCTGGGTCCGGTTACTCTGTTTTTCTTATAGCTCTAACAGTTTTACTTAAAGGCCCCATAATGTGTTTTCACACACGGAGAAACAAGGATCAGCTTCAACTTTGTGATGTTGTGAAACGCATTTAGATGTTAATGACGTTGACACAGACCTGGCTAGAACTTAAAAAACAAAAACAAAAAAACCCCCTAGGATCAATGTTTCTTGAACTAATTCAGTAGCTTAGCATTGATTGTATTTATTCAATTCTAGTGCATTAGCTTAAACTCATTCTATAAAAAGGAAATAATAAATCCAAATACATTTATGGAGTCAC